TTAATAATACTAATGAGCATTTTTTTAACTTTTGTATAAATAAAAATTTATTTTCTGCTGTTTACACTCATGTTCCTGCTAAGGGTCCTGGAGATTTCTGAGCAGGGAAACAGTGTAAACTGATAAATGTCTTATTTTGTTTATTTTTATTTATTTATTTTAAATATTTAAAAATATTTTTATTTTAATTGTTGTTCAAGTACAGTTTTCTGTTTTTTACTCCCATGCCAGCCCACCCTCCCAGTGCTCCCTACCTCCCTCTCATTTCCACCCCTCTTAGTTGTTGTCCATGTGTCCTTTATACTAGTTCCTGTAAATCCTTCCCCTTTTTCCCCTGAAATTCCCTCCCCTTTCCCCTCTGGTCACTGTCCCCCTGTTCTCTATTTCAGTGTCTCTGGTTATATTCTGCTTGCTTGTTTGTTTTGTTCTTTAACTTCCTGTTAAAGGTGAGATCATATGGTATATGTCTTTCAATGCCTGGCTTATTTCAATCAGCATAATGCTTTCCAACTCCACCCATTCTGTCGAAAAGGGTAGGAGCTCCTCGTTTCTTTCTGCTGCATAGAATTCCAGTGTGTAAATGTACCATAATTTTTAGATCCATTAATTTACTAATGGGCACATAGGTTGCTTCCAAATCTTGGCTATTGTAAATTGTGCTGCTATGAACATTGGGGTGCATAGGTTCTTTTGGATTGGTGTTTCAGGGATCTTAGGATATAATCCTAGTGGTGAAATTGCCAGGTCAAATGGCAGATCCATTTTTAGTTGAACTCCTTCCGTTACTAGCTCCCACAGTTCTTAAGTCATTTATTTTATGCATAATACTTGCTGCTTTGTACTGAGTGTTCACAAGTGCTAAGTGCTCTTTAATACACTGATGAAGTATTCAGGAAAAGTTAGTTGAATTAACAAATTAAGGTTCTTGCTCTTCCTTCTTCCTCTGTTATTCTTTTATTTTTTCCCACTGTTGTTTAGAAACCTGTACCAGCACTCCTCAGTCAGTTCACTGTAATTTCTCTGTTCATAATACAGTTGGAAACAGCTGTTGTGACCCTTTTCTCTTTGATTCAAAGGTTCTGTTGTGGGTGGGACAATTTGTTTACTCCCCACTATTAGAAGCCCCTCAACTAGTCTGCCATCCCCCATCATCTTCCTGGTGTCAGCACCTGTATTCCTTATCATGGATGGCACAACCTTCCTCAGGAGGGGAAAGGCAGAGCTCCTGCCTTGTTTTATAAGATGATAGGCAGAAAGAATGAGAAACTGATATTCAGAGCAGTCAAATTCAGATCACTGCTGTATAAATACTACTTGTAGACTTCCGGCCAAGATGGAAGCATAGGTAGATACACTCTGACTCCTCACACAACCAAAAGAAGGACAACAACAAATTTAAAATAAAAAAATAACCAGAACTGCCAGAAAAAAAATTGTGTGGAAGTCTGATAACCAAGGAATTCAAGAAGAAACATTCATCCAGACGGGTAGGAGGGACGGAGATGGGCAGCCAGGGCAGAGAGGATGTGTGGCAAGACAGTGGCAGGAGGACCAGGGTGGTTCCACATTTGTGTGTGGATAAACTGGGAGGAAGAACCATGGAGCAAGACAGACTGTGCAACCCAGGGTTCCAGTGCAGGAAAATAAAGCCTCAAAACCTCAGTCTGTAAAAACCTCAATAGCCCTTATCTATAAAAACCTGTGGGGTTATGGTGGCAGAAGAAACTCTCAGTCTCACAGGACAGATCCACAGGGTCTTAGAATGCATACAAACCCATCCACCCTGGAATCAGCACTAGAAGGGCCCAGTGTGGTTGTGGTTAACAGGGGGAGTGACTGAAAGCCAGCCGAGAGCTGAGCAAGAGGCATTGTTCCCTCTCAGCCACCTCCCCCACAGACAGTGCCTTGGGGTACCCTGCCTTGGTGAATACCTAAGGCTTCGCCCCTTAAAAAGCACACTGAGACAAAAAAAAATATGTACAAAGTGAAAAAAACAGATCAAAGCTCCAAAAATAGAACTAAGCAATAAAGAGATCGCCAACCTATCAGATGCAGAGTTCAAAACACTGGTATTCAGGATGCTCACAGAAACAATTGAGTATGGTCACAAAATAGAGGAAAAAATGAAGACTATGCAAAGTGAAATAAAGGAAAACATACAGAGAACCAACAATGATGGGAAGGAAACTGCGACTCAAATCAACAGTTTGGACCAGAAGGAAGTAATGAACATTCAACCAGAACAGATTGAAGAAGCAAGAATTCAAAAAATGAGGAGAGGCTTAGGAATCTCCAGGACAACTTTAAACATTCCAACATCCAAATCATAGGGGTGCCAGAAGAAGAAGAGGAAGAGCAAGAAATTGAAAACTTACTTGAAAACACAAGGAGAACTTCCCTAATCTGGCAAAGGAAATAGACTCCCAGGAAATCCAGGAAGCTCAGAGTCCCAAAGGATTTGGACCAAAGCACATTATAATTACATTATGCATGATGAAAGATAACGAGAGAATCTTAAAAGCAGCAAGAGAAAAGGAGACAGTTACCTACAAAGGAGTTCCCATAAGACTATCATCTGATTTCTCAAAAGAACCTTACAGGCAAGAAGGGGCTTGGAAGAAGTATTCCAAGTCATAAAAGGCAAGGACCTATACACAAGATGACTCTATCCAGCAAAGCTATCATTTAGAACAGAAGGGCAGGTAAAGTGCTTCCCAGATAATGGCAAGTTAAAGGAGTTCATCATCACTAAGCCCTTATTGTATGAACTGTTAAAGGGATTTATCTAAGAAAAAGAAGAAGATCAAAAATAAAAACTGTGAAAGGATAACAAACTCACAACTATCAACAACTGAACCTAAAAAAGCAAAAACAGACTAAGCAAACAACTAGAACAGGAACAGATTCACAGAAATGGAGATCACATGGAGGGTTATCAGCAGGCAGGTCAAGGAGGGACGATGGGAGAAAATGTACAGGGATTAAGAAGCATAAATGGTAGGTACAAAATAGACAGGGGGAGGTTAAGAATAGTATAGGAAATGGAGAAGCTAAAGAACTTATATGTATGACCCATGGATATGAACTAAGGTGGGGGGAATGATGGTGGGTGGGGTGTCACAGAGCAGAAGGGAATAAAAGGGAGAAAAATATGAGACAACTATAATAATCAAGAAAATATATTTTAAAAATAGAAGAAAAACCATGCTGAGGTTATGTGATGACTTGTTATTTATTTTTAAAAATACTAGGAAAACAGAGATATCTATGCCTGTGTCAAATGTTATGTTCAATATTGACATGTGTTATTTCATTTAATCTTCACAATAGTCCCAGGAAATAGGTACCATTATTCCTACTTCATAAATGAGGAAACAGACACCAGCTCAGTGACTAGCAAGGCTAAAACGAAAACCTCTGCCTGCAAGTAACTCCACATTCCACACTGTTTTCACAAAGCAGGGTGCTTTAACCAACCAAGTCTTCAATATCAATTTACTTAGGGTGTTTGGAATAAAATACAGGATTTAGAAGGTCAATGGTTTTTGGGCCACTGAGATTTTTTTGAATTACATAGCTGCCTGGAGTGGTGCTATTCACATGTGGCCATTTAAATTTAAATTACTTAACATAAAATAAAATTTAAAATTGCTCTTCAGTTGCATTATCCCACATTGGAAAAATCCACATGTGACTATTGGCTACCATAATGGACTGAGAAGGTTACAGAACATTTCTAGCATTACACAAAGGTTAACGGGATAGCTCTGATCTAGAGGATCCCCAAGAGGCATGGTGAAGTTGTAGGAAATCTTATTATATCTAAGATCATTACTATCGAGGATGTTAGAGGATATTGTGGACCTTTCCATCTCCACTATTAAGACAGGATCAGATTTTTCTCTGTAAATTCTTTTCCTAAGGTTTACCCTCAATAGTTGATATTAGAGGAAGGAATAGCTGTAACTACTTTATGCAAACTTTTTTACTTATGTTTGCAACTTGGAGAAGAGAGGTTTTTGTTTTGTTTTGCTTGCTTGCTTTTGAACTGCAGGGGAAAAAAGACATATAATAAGAATTAGTTTAACTTTTAAGAACTGGTTTAACTAACACTCAAAAAATATAAGGTAAGAAATTTATGTTTAAGAACCGCATCACAATGTGCAGTCATGTAGAAACACTGCCCAAAAGGAGTTTACAAATTAAATTATACTCACTACAGGTACCAGTGTGCACTTCCATAACACAAAGTATTATTTATACCAAATGGTATGTTTCCTGAAAGAAGTCAAAAGCACAATACTGAAAAATAAGACAGTTTATGTGTAAAAATTACGAACAAATTAGACATTTGCAAATGAAAGACAAAAAGGAAATAGAGGTGGGAGCAACCCAAGTGTCCATTGGCAGATGGAAGAATAAACAGAAATGCAGTATCTACATATAATGGAATATTAGGCTTAAAAAGGAAGAAAATTTTGACATGATATAATATGGATGAACCTTGAGGATATTATATGAAGTGAAATAAGCCTGTCATAAAAAGACAAATACTATATTCCTGATACCACTTATATGAGGTATCTAGAATAGTAAAACTCAGATATAGAAAATAGAATAGTGGTTGCTAGGGGCTGGGAGAAGAGGAGATGGGGGATTGTTTAATGGATACAAAGTTTCAGTTTTATAAGATGAAAAACTTCTGGGGGTTGGTTGAACAACAAAGTGAATACAATTAACACTACTGAACTGTACACTTAAAAGTAATTAAAATGATAATTTTTGTTATGCCACAGTTAATAATAATAACAATAGGGAAATGAATGCATGCCTTCTCAGAAAAGTCATCTAAGTTTATTAGACCACATACTGGTCTCTTCCTCTACCATTCCATGTTAATCCTTCATTCTCTCTAATACAACAAAGGTTCATGATTGCTCTGAAATTTTTAAGATTTAAATAATGAAATATCATAATGATAATGTAAAATATGCAAATACCTGGGTCAGTGGCAGAGATAATTGCTCCAAAAAAGAGACAATCCGTGTAGTAATATTTATCTGAAAGCTGTCCCACTATCTTCATGAGCTTCACCACACCATACATGAGATTTCTATAAGGAGGAAAGATAAACTATGTCAGAAGAGGAAAAAAATAAAACTCTCCTAATTGAATAAACTAGCAAATGTGCAAGCAGAGTAGTACTAGAATACTGTACTTCAAGACAGAGTCATGAAAACATCAGGCAGCTGCTGTGGTTGAGCACTTACCAGGAACATGTGCAATAAGACTTTGGCACCAAGTAATAGTTTGCAATTAACGTCATCTTGCTGAAACTTCTGAATATTCCATTTTTAAAAGTTGTGCTTACTTATAACTATAAAGTGTGGTCCTCAGTTAGCAATAAAAATATCTTAAGCAGCTGGGTAATAGAGAAGAAAGAATGAATACTGCATAATGGGTAATAGATTTCTATAACACCCACAGGAATCTAAAATAGTGTGTTTAAAGTCATGGACATCAGTGGACTGGATTAAGTTGGAGAGGAAAACAAATGAGTTAGCCACAAAGTTCAAGCGAGCAACATTTCCTGCCAAGAATTATTTCAAAAAAAGGGAAGAGGCAAAATTCTCTAAACATCCAATTAAAAATTAGTGTACCCATCAACATATCTGGTCTCTTCTTCGCATCGATTTGGCAGGCCAGCAGCAGTCCTCCTTATGCTATGCGGAATATGATGTGGCACAAGAGGGACCATGAAATTCAATATTTGACCTTCGTCTGGAGCACATTTCCTCAACTAACAAATTGGGAGGAGTGAGGGGTGTTAAAAGGCCTAGTGACTTTTACTAATGTTACTAAGGTTGTATGTGTCTATATGTGCATATGTGGGTGTGTGCCTGTGTGTGTACTGGCAGTAGCTGCAGGGGTTAAGGGAATAAAAATAAACACAAAATAGACTCTTAGCACCCTAAACTCAATCCTCTGATAGTAACATTCTTGATGATAAGAACCACATCTTGCTCACCTTTATATCCTGGGTGCCTAGAACAAGTAGACTAACTAAGATAGGAGCTCAAGAACTATTTGCAGAACTTAATCCTCTTGAGAATAAATAACTGTAGGTTAATGCTTACTTACTGTGTGCCACTCACTGTTCCAGACACCTGAGAAGTTCTATTTCAATTTATAGTAACTCCATGATACAGATTTGATTTGCCCTTTGTTGCTTATTTCATCTACCTTTTAAATATTTCCTAAAAGCATACCTTCCTCTTCATTTCCTTCTACCACAAACTTAGACATAGTTACCAAACTTCTTTCTGGAAGCTTTTCCCCCATCTTGCTTCCATTATCACCAATGTTTGTTTTCTGAGCACTTCCTCACTTTTTGGCATTATAAGGTTCTCCATTCTCATCTTGTATAAATGCTGCCCCAGCCCTAGAATCAGACATGAGTGCAAAGGGACATGATTCTTTTTATTGGATGATATTAGAAACCAAGGCCTGGGGACTAGGTGTAATTTTATTTCATTCTAATTAATATTACTTTAATTTAAATAGCTACAAATGGCTAATTGCTACCACACTGAACAATGTAGCTATTGATCTTAACTGCAGTTACCATAAATATCAAAATACTAGACTCTGGTGATTGCCAGGGGCTAGGGGGTGGGGAAATGGGGAACCATAGCTCAGAGAGTACAACTTCCAGGAATAAGATTAACAAATTTTTGAGACCTACAGCATGGTGATTATAACTAATAATGCTGTGTCATATTCTTGAAATTTGATGAGAGTACGTCTCAGATGTTCTCACCACACAAAAAAAAATGGTAAATATGTGACACAATGGAGGTGTTAGATAAGCTATGCTGGAAATTATTTTGCAATTTATAAATGTATCCAATCAATACATTGTACATCTTAGACTTACACAATGTTATGTGTCAATTATATCTCAATATAGCTGGGGAAATACTGTATTCTGTGGACCCATGTGTATCTCATCTCTTTGGAAAATGTGTTAATTAAGTTATATGATAAAGATTCCCTTACCCGATAATGAAGCAGGAAACAGCAGTCCCCAAAAAGGCATAAGCCAGAATAGACCCAAGATTTCTGAAAAAGTGTCTCTGAATTAAAAAAAAGCAGAAATCACATTGTAATTTTTGACAGTAAGCATTAGAAACATATTAGAAGTCTCTAAAAAGTAAAACTTTACTTACTGCTTCTATGATATCAAGTCATAACTGAAATTACTCCTGAATAATGCTATTTAGCCTTAAACATAATGTTTTTAAAATATCCTTTGTTTTACCAATCACTGAGGAAGCAAGCAAGGGCTCAGTAAATTTCAGGCAAAATTACTGCAGCTACTTTTATTAAATTACATTGTTTCTTTTTGTGTACACACGTGCACATGCGTAAGTACAACAATCATTTCCATACATTGAACCCAAACCATTTTACTCTAGCGATTCAGCTAGTCACTTCCAGTTCTGGTGGAACATTAGAATATCATTACAGATATAATTTTCAAACTAATAAAATATAAAAATGCTATCTAAGGAGGTTTCTGCTTAATTCAGTTTCAGAAAACAGAATGTCCTAAGTATCTGCCCATGGCATCTATGGTGTCTCCTGATATTCATCTGGATTAATCTTTAGAGCCTAGTAAATACAGATGTGAAGAAATGAGAAACAACTAGTTCCACTTAGGATGGGCATTTTTAAAGTATGTATATGTATATAAGTATGTAAATTAATGTATACTTACACCGATACAAGGTATAGTAATTATTCAGAAAGAGGTGGCAAAACTGTAATCCTCTAATTACCTCTGTACATTTGTTGGCTACCTTAAAATGCACATACATAAATACACACACATACACAGATTTACTTCTCGTAAATCATTGTGCCTGTGGGATATTCTGATGGGGAAAATCACTGTTCTTGGGATTCTGAGCCATGGTTCTTACTCTTCAAGGCATTAGCTGTTTTCATTGGACAATCAGAACTATTTACCAAAAACAAAGAAGCAAAATCCCCCAAACATCCTAATTAAACAGGGGCCAGGAACACTTTATCTTAAAATTTTTAAATGCAGGAGAGCTCTAGCATGCCAGCTGAGCAACGTCAGGGACACACAAGGCACAAGAAGAACTCAGCCTGGATTGAGTAGCCACCATGAAGTACTACCAGACAAAGGACTGCAGGCATCCTCTGGCCTGCATTCCAGATGATCTAAGTAGTTTCTTTTGGTCTTCCCTAATATTTGCCTCTCTCTGAAGCTGAAGAAAGTACCAAGGAATGCCTGCTGTCCCTAAGCCAGAGGAGAAGAGAAGAGAAGCTCAGAAGAGAAGCCTTCAAGGGCTTGCTACACCACAGTCACCAAATAAGGGTGCTACTTGTACATATTATGGACTCACTATGTTTGCCTCTTAAACCAGTCATTTTTTAAGCTACTGCATGTTATACACCAATGTTTTTTTAAATATTTTATTTATTTATATTTAGAGGGGAAGGGAAGGAGAGAGGGAGAGAAATATCAATGTATGGTTGCCTCTCGTGTGTCCCCTGCTGGGAAATGGCCTGCAACCCAGGCATGTGCCCTGACTGGGAATCAAACTGAGATCCTTTGGTTCACAGGGCCACGCTCAATCCACTGGGCTACACCAGCCAGGGCTATACACCAATGTTTTGAAAAAGTTAGATTTCAAAAAGATCAACAATTGTGGTCTTGTTTGCCCCTAAAAGCCCCATGAAGGGCTTATATCAGAGAGGGCTTGGAGTGCATCAAGGATGAAACATGAGGCCAATAAAACTTATAGGAAGTATTCGGGAAAAAATTTTAGTAGCAGATATACTTTCCCTTGCCACTCAGCTTTCTTTTGGATAACCATTCATGTGGTTAGTTTGAATATATTAAGTAAATTCATATTAAAAATGAATTTTGGTCAAAGCCAAAATTAGGAGTATAAATCTGCTACCAAAATACATTTATAATATATTCTAAAACCACACATACATACAATTAGGAATCCCCATTTATATCTGCTGATATAAACTGAAATATTATTATACCTGGAAAAGGTGTAACATGCCTCTTATTTATATATTATTACACCTAGTATTTACTGCATATTTTATGGTTTACAAAAGCACAGTTACTCTTTAAACAATTTAGAAGTTATGAGCACCCACCTGCCCCAGTAAAAAATCCACATATAACTTTTTATTCCCCCAAAACTTAACTACTAATAGCCTACTATTGACCAGCCTTGCTGATAACGTAAACAGTCAATTAACATATTTTGTACATTGTACGCATTATATACTGTATTCATACAATAAAGTAAGCTACAGAAAGTAAATGTTATTAAGAAAATCATAAGGAAGAGAAATACATTTACAGTATTTGCTGAAAAAATCCACATATTAAGTGGGCACATGCAGTTCAAACCTGTGTTGTTCAACAGTCAACTGTAAACTGTACTTTTACATATATTAGCCCATCCAGTTCTCACAACCCCATCAGAAAGGTGTTATTCAAACCATTTATATAAAAGACATCTAGGTTCAAAAGTTCACATGATGAGAGCTGCTTGAAGTCACACAGAAGTCAAAGTGAAGCACCAAAACTGTGCAGCAGGCACTCTGACTTTAGGGCACTGCATTGTCACCACATCATTTAAGGGATGAAAAAGCAGGTGTCTACTGGAATCCTATATCTTTTGTTTTATTCTTTGGCCATGACAGTACACACAGTCAGGTGCAGTTTAACCGGCCATTACTGGTTCAAGTGTCCCCTGCTTTAGCCTCTCCTTTATAGATAGAATGGAACAAAGAGACAAAAGGAGATGACATGCCTTGGTACAGCCTTCAAGAATATAAGCCTAAGATAGATCAGGACAAGAAAGTTTGCTTACCATGAAAACCCATCTGACCTACCATTCTAAGCCTTATATTCCTACTCCTTGGGAAACCTCATCTTCTGCCACTGACAAATTTTAATGTGTATGTGCATCTGTGTTTTTATTCATTAAAGTGGACTTCACAAGCATTGATTTGGTTTCATTTGAAAGCAACTTTGACCACAGTTATTATACATTAAGATTGGTTACTTAAAATACTGAGTTATTCATGACATAATTTGATTTTTTTATTAAAATTAATTTATTTTATTATTTTTCTTGTTTTATTGTTGTTCAAGTACAATTGTCTCCATTTTCACCTCATCACACCCAGCCACCCCCCATCTCCACCTCTCACCCTTGAATACACCCCCTTTGGCTTTGTCCATGTGTCCTTCCTACATGTTCCTTGATGCCCCCCATTATCCTCTATTATCTCTTTCCCTCTTCCTCTCTGGTTACTATCAGATTGTTCTTTATTTCAATTCTCTAGTTGGATTTTGCTTGCTTGTATTTTTTTGTTGATTAGGTTCCACTTATAGGTGAGATGATATGCTATTTGTCTTTTACCACCTGGCTTATTTCACTTAGCATAAGGCTCTCCAGTTCCATCCATGCTATCGAGAAGGGTAGGAGTCCCTTCTTTCTTTGTGCTGCATAGTATTCCACTGTGTAAATATACCATTTTTTATTGTTATTAAATATATTTTACTGATTAGGTGATTACGGCTTTCCCAATTTTTCCCTTTGTTACCCTCCACCCAGTACTCTCCATTCCCTCCAGCAATCCCCCCTTAGTTCATATCTATGGGTCATGAATATAAGTTCTTTGGCTTCTTCATTTCCTATACTGTTCTTAACATCCCCCTGTCTATGCTGTAACTACCAACTTGTACATTTTAATCCCTGCACCTTTTCCCCTGTTCTCTCCCTTCCCCCTCCCAGCTGATAACCCTCCAAATGATCTCCATATCTATGATTCTGTTTCTGTTCTGCTGTTTGCTTAGTTTGTTTTTAAGATTCAATTGTTGATCATTGTGAATTTATTGCTATTTTAATGTTCATCATTTTGATCTTTTAGGGCAAGGGATATAAAGGAAAGAATAGACAAATGGGACTAAATCAAATTTAAAAGCTTCTCCACAACTAAATAAAATATCAACAAAATGAAAAGGAAACCAACTGTATGGGAAAACATATTTGCAAATGATAACTTGGACAATGGTTTGATCTCCAAAATATATAAACAACATACGACTCCACACCAGGAAGACAAACAATCCAATAAAAAATTGGAAAAGGACCTGAACAGACACTTTTCCAAGGAGGAAATACTAGAGCCCAGAGACAAATGAAAGGATGCTCAATATCATTGCCCATCAGAGAGATGCAAATGAAAACCACAATGAGATACCACTTCACGCTGGTCAGAATGGCCATCGTCATCAAATCAATAAACATGTGCTGGTGAGGATGTGGGAAAAAGAGAACCCTAGTGTACTGTTGGTGGGAATGCAGACTGGTGAAGCCACTGTGGAAAACAGTATGGAGGCTTTCAAGATGGCGATAGAGTAGGACGGAGCAGATACCAGTCCCTAGTACAAAAGGGAGAGAGACCTGTCCAATCAGAGGAGGAGAAGACAGCAAGCCAGCAGTTGCCAAGCATATATGAAAATAAGGGACCAGAAAACTTGACAGTCACGGAGGAACCACACAAGTCACAATCAACTTGAAAATACGAAAACACCAGAGCTGGACCCATAGAACAGGCCACCCGATAGTAGATTCAGAGAGACAAATTGCACCTTGATGTAGGAGAGAAGCCAAAAGTTGCTGCATATTTGAGTAGGTGGAGGCAGAGAACAACAGGATAACCAAAAGACACTGCACCACTGAAATTCACAGGCATTCCACCACAGAAGTTCACACCATAAACCCAGGGAGTCAGAAGAGATCACTTTAAGAAGCTTAGGCAAACAAGAAGACTCTCAAAAACAATGGGAAGATAAAGAAACAATCCCCAAATTAAACGAAAGGAGGAACCCTCAGAAAGAATGTTAGATGAAATAGAGGCAAGTCAACTATCAGATATTGAATTGAAAGCACTGGTTATCAGGAAGAACAAAGAGCTCACAATGAGCTACCAGGAACTACAGAGGAGATATAACAATCTCACAGTGAACTATATCAACATGAAAAAGGAAATGAAAACTATT